ACTGTCGCTGTGACAGCTCTGCCAGGCTGCATCCTTGCTGACTCTGCTAGTAAAAGAAAAACATCTCACAGCGGCCGGGTGTGGGGCGCACGTGGAGGGAGTGCTTGGTAGGGCTCTTTGTGCCGAAGAGTCTCGTGTCTTGGTGCTTCCAAGCCCTCGTAGCCTTGGGGCCAACATGGCCAGTGGTTCTGCCGTGCCAGATGACAGCGAGACGCTGGGGGTATATGCGGTCGTGCTTTGCACGCTAAACAGCAAACAGATTGCCCTGGCTTGCGTGGTCCTGCAAATGGGCAGCCTTTTTGTCCCGTTCTTGTCATGGTGGACAGGAAGTGGTGGAATGTTGCGAGCTTCTGCTGGACGGTACTTTCATCATCTTTTCTCTGTGTCGACCCAATACATGTACATAAGAGGCCCTTGGCAGATGGAGGTTTCCTGAAATTGGGGGTACTGGCTTTTCCATTATAAACTATAAACCATCCATTTTGGGGTAGCCCCATTTCAGGAAACCTCCAGATAATTGGGAAGGGGGTGCCTCCCTCAATAGCCGTGTGCCAGAGGCTGCCTTGCTCCGTTGTGACAACGGACTCAGACGGTCGGTGCAGGAAAGAATGAGAGCAGGGGGCCAGCCGGATTATTTTTGCTATCGTGAGGGTTGTGGTTTTGGCAATGATGACCATGATCATGATGATGATGATGATGATGGTGATGGTGATGGTGATGGTGATGATGATGATGATGATGATGATGATGATGACGATGATGATGATGATGATGATGAGGAGGAGGAGGAGGAGGAGGGATGATGATGATGATGATGAGGAGGAGGAGGAGGACGACGATGACGATGACGATGACGATGACGATGACGACCACCATGCGCTACTCCAATCTGGTGCACAAAATGTTCTTGGTTTTGCAAGTGTTTCTTGTTTGGTTTCTAGCGACTCCTTGAAGCATAAGTGAGATCCGAATTTTCGCGGTGGAACTTGAACATCTGCATATTGCTTTCTTGAAAATTGCAGTAGCAGACTTCACACCTTTTTGCCTGTGTGTGCTTTCGCCCTACCCAAGAATGAGCAGCCAGGCTCCCTGAACACGTTGGTGCTGGGTTCAATTAAAGTGAACAACTTTTGCTGCTTCATTCTCACACCGCTGGCCGGGTGTGGGGCGCACGCAGAGGGAGTGCCTGCTGGGGCTCTTGACGAAGAATCCCGTGCTTGGTGCTTCCAAGCACTCTTCCAGGCACTGGTACCCTTGGGGCCAACATGGCCAGTGGTTCTGCCGTGCCAGATGACAGCGAGACGATGAGCTAAAGTGCTCGCTGGGGGTGCATGCGGTCGCTGCTTTGCGTGCTTGGCAGGGGAGGCCAAACAGCAAACAGATTGCCCTGTCTGCTTGCATCGTCCTGCAAATGGACAGCCTTTTCGTCCCGTTCTGGTCATCCTGGGCGAACCTCTGCTGGAAGGTTTTATTCACTAATTACGTTTTATATGTGCTGACCATGAAGCTTGCAGCACACAGCATGAATAGGTATTGGCCAGGTAAACTCCTCGGAAAGCTTATACTATGGTGGTTGTTGTGATGGTAGTGCTGAGGGCGGTGACAGTGATGGTGATGGTTGTGGTGGTGATGATAATCATTAAATTTTATACAGACATGGTTTGTGTATATCTTTAAGCTACCACTACTATTAATGAGTTTTATGGTGATTTTCTGTAGTAGTAGTAGTATTATTATATAATATATGTAGTATTGATATTGGGATAAGTATTTACTAACATAAACTAGTGCGTTGGCATTAGTATTGTTGTGATGCTACTGCTGCTACTTCATCAGGTCGACAAAACTTTCGCCCTACCCAAGAATGAGCAACCCCGATTTCCTTCCTGAGCGGCGGACGTTGCCGGCAGGATGGTTCAGCGAAAGTGGACAACTTTTGTTGCTCGTTCTCACACCGTTGGCCGGGTGTGGGGCGCACGCGGAGGGAGTGCTTGGTAGGGGTTGGCCTACCGAGTGCTCGTACCCTTGGGGCCAACATGGCCAGTGGTTCTGCCGTGCCAGATGACAGCGAGACGATGAGCTAACGTGCTCGCTGGGGGTGCATGCGGTCGTGCTTTGCGTGCTTGGCAGGGGAGGCCAAACAGCAAACAGATTGCCCTGTCTGCTTGCATCGTCCTGCAAATGGACGGCCTTTTCGTCCCGTTCTGGTCATCCTGGGCGAACCTCTGCTGGAAGGTTTTATTCACTAATTACGTTTTATATGTGCTGACCATGAAGCTTGCAGCACACAGCATGAATAGGTATTGGCCAGGTAAACTCCTCGGAAAGCTTATACTATGGTGGTTGTTGTGATGGTAGTGTTGAGGGCGGTGACAGTGATGGTGATGGTTGTGGTGGTGATGATAATCATTAAATTTTATACAGACATGGTTTGTGTATATCTTTAAGCTACCACTACTATTAATGAGTTTTATGGTGATTTTCTGCAGTAGTAGCATTATATAATATATGTAGTATTGATATTGGGATAAGTATTTACTAACATAAACTAGTGCGTTGGCATTAGTATTGTTGTGATGCTACTGCTGCTACTTCATCAGGTCGACAAAACTTTCGCCCTACCCAAGAATGAGCAACCCCGATTTCCTTCCTGAGCGGCGGTCGTTGCCGGCAGGATGGTTCAGCGAAAGTGGACAACTTTTGTTGCTCATTCTCACACCGTTGGCCGGGTGTGGGGCGCACGCGGAGGGAGTGCTTGGTAGGGGTTGGCCTACCGAGTGCTTGTACCCTTGGGGCCAACATGGCCAGTGGTTCTGCTGTGCCAGATGACAGCGAGACGATGAGCTAACGTGCTCGCTGGGGGTGCATGCGGTCGTGCTTTGCGTGCTTGGCAGGGGAGGCCTCAGGTGGTCACTGAGGTGGCCATACCAAGATTATGACCCATGTTTGCGTATGGGTCAAACTGGGGTACCCCAAGAATTTGATCGTTAACACTAAGGACTAAACATGAGTAAAATCAGTGGGTTGTTGGGTTTAAAAAGATTGACCCATACCCGTGGTGTTGTGTTGCCAACTGCTATACATTATAGGACACTGGGTTCGCATACTCTTGGATCCAGTCTAGATCTCAGCCAATCATTGGTTCCGCCGAACACGGCGCAGGCGTGCGGACCGGGTGTTGGGTCTACCGTTCTGCCCCATTTGGAGGTTTCGTAAAATGGGGGTATCCCTAAATCATCCGTTTGGGATTTTCATGGGATTGTCCAGTATTTTCCATTACAAAGCATATAAAGCATCCATTTTGGGGTACCCATCCACTTATAGAAACCCACAGTCACGCAAGATTTCAGAAGATTTTGAGAACCAGCCTTGGTGGATGGCGGTAAGCTTTTACTCCCAAGTATGGTGGAGTGAGCTAGACTCCAGCAAGACTCCCTTTTACATCCTCTGTTCAGTTTCAAATAATCTACCCTCTGGTAAACTGACATAGCTATGGAAAATGGATGATTTATAGTTGATTTACCCATAAAATACGGTGATTTTCCATAGTTATGTTAGTTTACCAGAAGGTATCGTTTATATTTGAGAGATGTGTTTTAAATCAGTTGACGGTATTTTGTTGTTGGAATTTGAATGGATGTGACACGTGTTTCATTGTTGGCTTTGCCCAAGAATGGGGGATACCCCTACTGTTGCTATTCGTTCATGAAAAACACTTTCTCATCCGAGAGACAGATTTTGACCCCAACATTTTTCAGACCAGCCCGTGTCTAGCTCATTTCATCTTATTTCTATACCCATCGATACCCAGTTGCAAATCGGCTGTGGGCTGCAAGCCCCAAAACAAGATGCCAGAAAGTGTGCCACCTCCAATTTTCAGGTTTCCAAGGTATTTTGAGCATCTTGTTGGAGATTGCTATGAGGGGAATCAATTATATCATTTTTCAATAAATCATTATTGATCCACTTACAGAACAATTTTCCTTGCAACTCAAATATAGAATCATACCCAGAAACCAGTATGTTACAGTAACACACGGTGATTTTTCCAGTTATGTTGCGTTAGATTCACCCAGAAAACATCCGTTACATGATCCGTTGAAGGTGTCCTAAAATGGACCCCCCAACTCCAAGTCGTGCACCGAGTCCGTGGCGGAGGCATTTTCCTGCCATGGGCTGCAACAGTACGAAGCCTGCCGAGGCAGGCGATAGAAGCCTCTGCAGCTTGAGTAATGAGGATTTACCCCAAGAAAAATGGTGAGACAGAGAAAAGCATAAACACATGTGTTTAAAACACCCAAGAACAATGTGATTTAGCCAATAAAACATGAGGATTTGCTCATGGAAAAAGAAGGATTTGGATGGATTTGGCATTAAACAAAGGTCGATTTCACCATCAGAAACTGGTGATTTTGAATTTTTTCGATTCAACATGATTTTTTTCCATCAAAATTGTGATGTTTTACAGATAAAAAACCCAATGATACAACTGGATATAACTGGATATCAATGGGTAAACTATGGGATTCTAGGGGATGAACCATCCCCTTCCATCCCCTGAAGCATCCCCTTAAAAAGACGACTGGTTTATGTAAAAAATGGGCCATTCAAAAATGGACGACTTCTTAGCCCCCCTTAAATGGTGAGCAAAATTTTGACGACATAAATTCTGGGATGAACTATGACTATGACCTAGGGATACCTAGGGATTCAACGAGACAATTGATGATAAAACTGGGAAAATCGCCACAACCAAGTCCCATTTGGGGACGAAATCCAACCCATTGATGTTAAGTCATAGGGGCTGGTTTACAGATTGTCCTCTAAAAACACACACGTTTAACGATTGATGAATCAAACCGCAATGACTGCATGCTTCTCACAAATTTCATTACAACATCAATTGATATCAATTGATTAAAACATGTACATCGAAATAAAGACTCCACCACGCATGATTCTTGAGTGCCGCTTTCGCTTTGCAACTGTTGATGGTCGTTATGACTTTTGCAACCTGCCAGGCGCAGGACAAGTCCCACGACAAGGCCCAACACCATGGCATCATGCTGCACACGCCAATGACTTCTTGCAGATCTGTCCCAAAAACTGTGACTTTCGATGTTTTGCAAAGTTTGACCAACTCGTTGGCTGCGCATTGTTTTGGCACCCAATGGGTCCAACTCGCCGTCGCGACTACAATGGATGTTGCCAGGGAAAAGAGTCGAACACTGCAGGGATGGGCAGAGCGCTGTTCATCATCGACAATCCAGGAACCACGGCAATTCGGATGGGGTCTGAGAGTTTTTTTAGCGAAGCCAGCCCAGTTTTTGTTGCAAAGGATAACCAGGGATAGTCAATATTGTTTTCCAGATTTGGAATAATTTTTTGCAACGTGATTTTTTTGGGCTTGAAGTTTCATCAGCTTATTATATTATTAGTGAGACTATTATATATCAACATCGTTTCCAGTCGCCAGTTCGGCATTTTCGAACTCGGCAAATCGTGCTATCTCAAAGTCGTGGGTCCAGGAAAACTCCTGGACTTCTACGATCTTGACAAGAAGAAACTGGGTGAGGGGTCGTCAGCTTAATGGCCTGCTGAATATTCGCTTGGTGGTTTCAAAGAACATATGGGGCTTTCCTGAAATGGGGGTACGGAGTACCCCAATAGCTGGATGGTTTACTTCATGGAACGTCCGAAAATATTTAGGGGTACTGGTTCATATATTTACGGACTAAGTCATAGTACCATATGTACCATTCATGGATGATTTAGTAGCCCTATGACTTAGGCCTCCAAATGTGTTTTGAACAAGACCACGATGGTCCCGGAAGCCCCAAAAAACAATCGCCGCACCTCGTGGCCTCGTTCTTCACCGGTGATGTCATGGGTTTTTTTGAGGTCCTATGGCTATGTCTGCAAGGGCAAGAACAAGGCCACAAATGCCATCCGAGCAGTGAAAACAATTGCCAAGGCAAGGGCTGATAGGGCTGCAGGGAGACAGGTTTTAGTTGGAGATTCCGTGAATTATGGACTCTTTTGCATTCAAGTACTATCCCAAGGATACACAAAAACAACACAATGTATCCAAATGTTTGCTCCTGAACTGGTGGTGTATTGGAGATCACTCCAAGTCTCATCCCAGGATACAATTCTTGTGTGAACAGGTGTTGAATGGGACATCATGGGACCACACGCTGACCACACGCCATTCTGTGAGGGCAAGATGAAAAACATTGAGCGCTTCAAGCAAGAAATCGCCATTATGAAGATGATGGACTGACAGGGCTGGACAGCTGGAGATACTGCAGGTGACCGTTGACCCTTCAGAACTCAACGGGGAATGACCACACCCTTTGGTAATCAAACATGGCAACAGAACATCCCCCGTTTATAGATGATTTTCCCATTAACACCTCCGTTTACAGGAGATTTTCAGTTGCCATGTTTGATCACCAGAGGGTAAGCATATATTCGTTCTGTTTTTCTTATGCGGGGAGTTTTATTGCGCAAAAAACATGTGTGACTGCTTGATGTCTTGCTAGAACTTTGATCTTTGACCAAATCATCGTCCGTGAGGACCATCCGAACATCATCAAGCTGTATGAAAGCTTTGAGGATTTGAGGCGTGGCGATTGAAAAAGTGTCCTGGAACAGAACTTTGAAAAAACCAAACCGACCAAGTTTCTTGGATCAAGGCAACAAAAAGCTGCTGCTGGTGAAGCGGCAATTACCCTCTGGTATTTAACATAGCTATGGAAAATCACCATTTTTAATGGGAAAATCCACTATAAATTGCCATTTTCAATAGCTTTTTGTATGTTTACCAGAGGGTAAGTGTTCGGGATTTTCAGAGTTACATTTGTATACATTTGTTACGACTGAATGAAGTACTATTGGCCTACTGGCTTGGAAGGATTCGGAAGCAGAGGATCTGCTTCGGTGTGGTCCTTTCCGAATCTGCAGTTTGTGGCTGCCACGTGCCATGTGCATCCAACACATGCCCTTGGTTATGAGGGCAGTCAATTCTTCATGGGGTAGTGAATGGGCCACTATACCTGAAGTATGCCCACCTTGATCTTCCCCCTCTAATTTCCAATGGAAAAATCATGTCATTGATTTGAATGAGGGCGAATCATTCAAAAGAAGCGTCCTTGATTTGGAATTCACCATAGCCCATTTCTAGTTCACTGATATCTTGAAAACTGGGTGCATCACTGGTTCCAAGATGTGGCTTGTACTTTGTGCTGAGACACCGCACTGCTTGAAACAACTTCTCAATCGTAGCTGACAGAAGATATTCTGCTGCCGTAAGTAAGTTTTTCAATCTTTGCAGATTCCTCTTCCACCTCATGGTTCATTATTATTTTCTCCATGCTTTCAAATTCCAGAACTTGTTCATGGTAACATCATTTTCTCCAAGAAATTGGATCCAAATTTTGGACTTTCCAAGCCATTTTTTTGACCGAGCCAAATTGGAATGTCGATAGATTTCCCATGACTTCCCAAAAACATTCCAGGACGTCCCCCACTGAAAACACGACTAGACATAAACTGGGGATTCTCCCCTGTTTTACTCCAATTTCAAAGCACATGAAACATTTTGGGTTTTAAGATGTTGTAAGGATTTTCCCGAAAACCATGTGATCTTGAAATCATCATGATATATCATGATATCTGAAATCCATTGAAATCCCCCAAAGCATATCCCGGCGAAAATCCTCCTGATATCTTCATGATTCAGCCATATTCAGCCCAATAATCCCATGACTATCCAGTGGTAGGGAGGCAAAGAACTATGGCTATCCATCTTCCCGACAATTGGGGAGCCAGTTGGAGCTATGCATAGTGATTTCCAACCAGATAGATGAACATCCGACAGAAATCCCGGGTCATGTCATTGAACATAGCCATGGGAAATGGCCCATAGAAATAAAGCTTTACCGTTCTTAGTAGCATGGTGATTTTCCATGGCTATGTTAAATAACCAGATGGTATCTTTTCCAACTTTTAGGGGATTTCCCACAATAATCCCGTTCCGCCCATTCAGACGCTCTGCAAAAGACGTGGTTCGATGATTCAGTTCCAGTTTCCTAGAATAAGGGCTACCCCGAAATCATCCTAAATTAGACCGTTCTAGCATTGACAGCTTTGGTTTTGGGGAACCCCCATTTTGAGAAACCCCTATATTATATATTAAATTATTATATATATATATTGATATTCTTCTTAATTGTTGATTATTATTATTAATAATGATAACTATTATTTATTGCCGTTATTATTATGTATTCTATATATTCAATTATCATTATTGCTATTATTATTGTTACTACTATTGTTATTATTATTATTGCTGGTTGGTGGTTTCAAACATTTTTTATTTTCCATTTCATATATGGGATGTCATCCTTCCCATTGACGAACTCCATGATTTTTCAAGATGGGCACATTGCACCACCAACCAGATTGTAGATGTTTACCAACAAACTCACGGCCGGTGAAAAACTAACCGGTGATTTCCCATGTGTTGAGGCCTTGATGTCCCATGGCAGGAACATCTACCTGGTCATGGAGCTTTGCTCAGGGGGTGAGCTCTTCGACCGCATCATCGATGCTGGCAGCTTCACAGAGGTGGGCTATATGATTCTGGTTGGTTGGTTGGTTGGTTGGTTGGTTGGTTGGTTGGTTTGGAACATTTTTTATTTTCTATAATATATGGGATGTCATCCTTCCCATTGACGAGCTCATATTTTTCAGAGGGGTAGGTCAACCACCAACCAGGATTGGTTGGTTTACATGGGAAAATCCATCGAAAAAAAGGCGGTTGGTTGGTTTATTTCATGGAAAATCCGAAGAAGATGGATGTTTTTTTCGGGTTACCCCCATGAAATACCGAATGGCTCCATACAATGGGGATATCATAGGGATATACTGGGGGTAAAGTGGGAAAACCATGGAACAACCAACTTGATATGAGGGGTGAGATTTTTTGTGTGCCTGAAAATGAGACTGACCGCCTCATTTTATGGTGGTTTCAATCTGGAAAATGATGATTCACCAGTGAATGGAATCGGCTTTTCTGCACATTTTTTGGATCCACACAACCACATCGCACCCCAGCAATGCGGCCGGTAAGATGATATTCCGTCATAGGAGGTCCATTTTTCGTCCGAAGATGTTTGGAACCACCATTTGCAGCGATTTGCAACCTCAGATTGGCTTCATTTGTGTCCAGAAATACAATCATATATATCGACGGACTGAAACTTAGAATGCGCATTTGGAAATTTCACTCCACACGTGCAAAACTGAAAAATTGCATTTTACCAGCATTTCGGAACTTAGAATGCGTCCCCCCACCTAGGATGAAGCTATTCGGCAATCAACAGTTAGAATGCCTCCAAGGGCATATGTTTTTTTCCAGGCAGAAACACATATATATCCTAGACCCTCCAAGCCACCATAAAAAAGGTAGTTTACCACATAATTTTCATAGTTTTAGCAATTTTTCAGGGTATTTGGAGGCTCTGGGTATATGAATGTACCTGTTTGAGAATATCACCTTATTTTTTGTGCACTTTGCAGGTCTGGGTACTTTTACTCGCTTTCCCCATTCGATAACCTTGACAAAAGTGAGTTTCGGGTACAAAAACTGCGATTTTGGACACATACCTGAGGTAGATAGGCTTCTGGGAAAAGAGGACACACCCAGCCACTAATGGTGTTGAACAGACAGTTAGAATGCGGCTTTAGTAAAGGATCACCATCATTGATAAATACCTTTGTTTTATCTCCTAGGTGGGCCGCTAGCTGGAATGCCTGTAACTGTCACTGATTGGAAAAGATGTTTATATGTCTTTTTTAAACGGCAAAACTGGAAAATTGCATTTTACCAGCATTTCAGAACTTTGAATGCCTCCCCCCCCACCTAGGATGAAGCTATTCGGCAATCAGCAGTTAGAATGCCTCCAAGGGCATATTTTTTTCCAGGCAGAAACGCATATATATCCTAGACCCTCCAAGTCACCATAATAAAAGCAGTTCACCACATAATTTTCATAGTTTTACTTCAGGGTATTTGGAGGTTGTGGGTATATGAATGTACCTGTTTGAGAATATGACCTTATTTTTTGTGCACTTTGCAGGTCTGGGTACTTTTACTCGCTGTCCCCATTCGATAACCTTGACAAAAGTGAGTTTCGGGTACAAAAATTGCGATTTTGGACACATACCTGAGGTAGATAGGCTTCTGGGAAAAGAGGACACACCCAGCCACTAATGGTGTTGAACAGACAGTTAGAATGCGGCTTTAGTAAAGCATCCCCATCATTGATAAATACCTTTGTTTTATCTCCCTGATGGGCCGCTAGCTGGAATGCCTGTAACTGTCACTGATTGGAAAAGATGTTTATATGTTTTTGTTTAAACGGCAAAACTGGAAAATTGCATTTTACCAGCATTTCAGAACTTTGAATACTTTGAATGCCTCCCCCCCACCTAGGATGAAGCTATCCGGCAATCAGCAGTTAGAATGCCTCCAAGGGCATATTCTTTTCCAGGCAGAAACGCATATATATCCTAGACCCTCCAAGTCACCATAAAAAAGGTAGTTTACCACATAATTTTCATAGTTTTAGCATTTTTTCAGGGTATTTGGAGGTTGTGGGTATATGAATGTACCTGTTTGAGAATATCACCTTATTTTTTGTGCACTTTGCAGGTCTGGGTACTTTTACTCGCTTTCCCCATTCGATAACCTTGACAAAAGTGAGTTTCGGGTACAAAAATTGCGATTTTGGACACATACCTGAGGTAGATAGGCTTCTGGGAAAAGAGGACACACCCAGCCACTAATGGTGTTGAACAGACAGTTAGAATGCGGCTTTAGTAAAGGATCCCCATCATTGATAAATACCTTTGTTTTATCTCCTAGATGGGCCGCTAGCTGGAATGCCTGTAACTGTCACTGATTGGAAAAGATGTTTATATGTTTTTTTTAAACGGCAAAACTGGAAAATTGCATTTTACCAGCATTTCAGAACTTTGAATGCCTCCCCCCCACCTAGGATGAAGTTATTCGGCAATCAGCAGTTAGAATGCCTCCAAGGTCATATTTTTTTCCAGGCAGAAACGCATATATATCCCAGACCCTCCAAGTCACCATAAAAAAGGTAGTTTACCACATAATTTTCATAGTTTTAGCAATTTTTTGTGGGTATTTGGAGGTTCTGGGTATATGAATGTACCTGTTTGAGAATATCACATTATTTTTTGTGCACTTTGCAGGTCTGGGTAAAGATTCTATGAAAAGTTTCAATGAACCAGCAGGCAGCCCAAAGGCACTTTTACTCGCTTTCCCCATTCGATAACCTTGACAAAAGTGAGTTTCGGGTACAAAAATTGCGATTTTGGACATTGCGATTTTGGACACATACCTGAGGTAGATAGGCTTCTGGGAAAAGAGGACACACCCAGCCACTAATGGTGTTGAACAGACAGTTAGAATGCGGCTTTAGTAAAGGATCCCCATCATTGATAAATACCTTTGTTTTATCTCCCTGATGGGCCGCTAGCTGGAATGCCTGTAACTGTCACTGATTGGAAAAGATGTTTATATGTTTTTTTTAAACGGCAAAACTGGAAAATTGCATTTTACCAGCATTTCAGAACTTTGAATGCCTCCCCCCCACCTAGGATGAAGCTATTCGGCAATCAGCAGTTAGAATGCCTCCAAGGGCATATTTTTTCCAGGCAGACACGCATATATATATATATATATATATCCTAGACCCTCCAAGTCACCATAAAAAAAGTAGTTCACCACATAATTTTCATAGTTTTAGCATTTTTTCAGGGTATTTGGAGGTTGTGGGTATATGAATGTACCTGTTTGAGAATATCACCTTATTTTTTGTGCACTTTGCAGGTCTGGGTACTCTTACTCGCTTTCCCCATTCGATAACCTTGACAAAAGTGAGTTTCGGGTACAAAAATTGCGATTTTGGACATTGCGATTTTGGACACATACCTGAGGTAGATAGGCTTCTGGGAAAAGAGGACACACCCAGCCGCTAATGGTGTTGAACAGACAGTTAGAATGCGGCTTTAGTAAAGGATCCCCATCATTGATAAATACCTTTGTTTTATCTCCTAGATGGGCCGCTAGCTGGAATGCCTGTAACTGTCACTGGTTGGAAATGATGTTTATATGTTTTTTTTAAACGGCAAAACTGGAAAATTGCATTTTACCAGCATTTCAGACCTTTGAATGCCTCCCCCCCCACCTAGGATGAAGCTATTCGGCAATCAACAGTTAGAATGCATCCTAGGGTTTTTTTTTTCCAGGCAGAAACACATATATATCCTAGACCCTCCAAGTCACCATAAAAAAGGTAGTTTACCACATAAGTTTCATAGTTTTAGCAATTTTTCAGGGTATTTGGAGGTTCTGGGTATATGAATGTACCTGTTTGAGAATATCACATTGTTTTTTGTGCACTTTGCAGGTCTGAGAACTTTTACTCGCTTTCCCCATTCGATAACCTTGACAAAAGTGAGTTTCCCGTACAAAAATTGCGATTTTGGACACATACCTGAGGTAGATAGGCTTCTGGGAAAAGAGGACACACCCAGCCACTAATGGTGTTGAACAGACAGTTAGAATGTGGCGTTAGTAAAGGATCCCCATCATTGATAAATACCTTCGTTTTATCTCCTAGATGGGCCGCTAGCTGGAATGCCTGTAACTGTCACTGATTGGAAAAGATGTTTATATGTTTTTTTTTAACGGCAAAACTGGAAAATTGCATTTTACCAGCATTTCAGAACTTTGAATGCCTCCCCCCCACCTAGGATGAAGCTATTCGGCAATCAGCAGTTAGAATGCCTCCAAGGGCATATTTTTTTCCAGGCAGAAACGCATATATATCCTAGACCCTCCAAGTCACCATAATAAAAGCAGTTCACCACATAATTTTCATAGTTTTACTTCAGGGTATTTGGAGGTTGTGGGTATATGAATGTACCTGTTTGAGAATATCACCTTATTTTTTGTGCACTTTGCAGGTCTGGGTACTTTTACTCGCTTTCCCCTTTCGATAACCTTGACAAAAGTGAGTTTCGGGTACAAAAATTGCGATTTTGGACACATACCTGAGGTAGATAGGCTTCTGGGAAAAGAGGACACACCCAGCCGCCAATGGTGTTGAACAGACAGTTAGAATGCGGCTTTAGTAAAGGATCCCCATCATTGATAAATACCTTTGTTTTATCTCCTAGATGGGCCGCTAGCTGGAATGCCTGTAACTGTCACTGATTGGAAAAGATGTTTATATGTTTTTTTTAAATGGCAAAACTGGAAAATTGCATTTTACCAGCATTTCAGAACTTTGAATGCCTCCCCCCCCACCTAGGATGAAGTTATTCGGCAATCAGCAGTTAGAATGCCTCCAAGGTCATACTTTTTTTCCAGGCAGAAACGCATATATATCCCAGACCCTCCAAGTCACCATAAAAAAGGTAGTTTACCACATAATTTTCATAGTTTTAGCAATTTTTTGTGGGTATTTGGAGGTTCTGGGTATATGAATGTACCTGTTTGAGAATATATATATATATAATATACTTGGTTGTGCAGACAATTGTACCCCACAACCCATGCGTTCCCTCAGCGTTCCCTGGTGTTTTTCTGGAAACATAGACAATTGGTATGTATATAGAAAGTTTTTTTGAAAACATGATGCAAACCCACCCATCCATGCTAGAATATGCTAGTGCCGGACCATGTACCTTGCACCCAATGAGGTTCCCTGAGGCCACGTTTTTTTTTAAAGCTACGTATCTATATAGTTATCTTTTTTAAGATATGTACAGTATATATACACACACCGACGGACTGAAACTTCGAATGCTACGCTCCTTTCCTGAGAGTAGTTTACAGACAGTTAGAATGCTCCATGATGCCCCATCCGTCATTTCAGTATAACTTTATCTATCTCAATCTAAACACTTTGGGTCAGCATTCTAACTGTCTGGTCGCCGCCCGGGGCTGCGCCGCATTCTAAGTTTACGAAAAAGGGAAATTTGGAAAAATGGCGCGCATTCTAAGTTTCAGTCCGTCAATATATATATATACTGTACATAAATATTATATATGTGTATATATATATATATATTCATATCCCACAATGCTGACTTTCATGTGGAATGATGATCAGCCATTGTGTTTTGGGCTACATCAACGCGGTATTGCTATTTTTGGTCACGACAGGTGGTTGCGGCAATCCTCATGCAGCAGATCATCCGTGCAGTGTACTATATGCATCAGAACAACGTCGGGAGCACCAGGATGGCTGGAGAATTTCCCTCTATAGATGAGTTTTCCCGGTAGAAATCTGATGCATCATTTTTTTTTGCAGCATTTAGAGATTTTTTTCATGATATTTATAGGGAATTTCTATAGATTTCCCCACTGCTTATTGGACTTATCGATGATTTTCCCGGCGCCAAAAACCTCCTCTGCATGGGGCCCAAGCTTCGCTTCTGGCCAGCCTGGCCCGCCTTCAGCAACTGGGCGACAGATGGGCCTCCGATTTTTTGGATTTGCAGTGGGAAAATGACGAAGAAATAGTCTATCCAGTGCTTAGGAGGAAGCTAAGGAGCAGGTGGGTATCCATATAATTCTATCCATATTCCAATCGTCATGGGAAGCCAGTTGGAGCTACGAATGGAGTTTCCCAACCACATGGTAGTAGTGGAATAGACAGTGGAACTGGATGGAACTCGGTCTCCTTTCCCTCTCAGCTCTGGTTGTGGTACGTTGGGATCTGAGGGATGAGTCGCCTCATATGGGTGCGGAGTGAAGTCTTTGATCATGGTGTTTTCAATACCTCCATCAGCTCCTTGGCGCAGATATTTATGACACCTTATGTGCTGCTGGCTGTGATGATTCACTGAGCAAACTTGATTTAAATTTTGAGCCACATGGGACATGCCCAAGGGCCCAAGGGCCCAAGGGCCCAAGTCATGGCCATGTATTTTACATTGGAAAAACGAGACCAGTGTGTCTGAAAATGGTGTTTCACAACCTGTGCAGTATACCAATATACCTCTTTAAATGGCTATTTTGATAGGGAAAATAGGAGGATTCTCCAGTGCGATCCGCAGATCCACAGTCACTTTTTTATGAACTCTGCAGGATGGTCCTCTTCGAAGGTCCTGAATTTCATGACGACTTTGAAGAGCCACATGAACACGACGACCTTGTCCAAAGAGGTGAGCTTGGCATAGCTTGGCCCGTTTTTTCATGCTTGGTCTTGGTCCCCAATTTCGTGGATTTAAGAGGACTCAACCTGTCCAAGATTGGCAAAAGGGGAAGAGAAACAGAGGACAAATGGGATCTTGTTCTGTCGTTCTGTCTGATTTTCCACTACCAGAAATGCCCCAAAAAAAGGGGGATGGAAAGCCGCTAGCCATGTGACTGATCAGAAATTAGCTCATTTCCACCTATGGTTGATGATATCCTATTGTTGCCATGATATTCCCATTGAAACTCGCCAACCATAAAATCCCCCGGGTGAACTCCATCAAATCCCATGAAATCCATATAAGATCCTATAAAATCCCATTAGATCCCCTAAAATTCCCATGAATCCCATAAAATCCGATAAATTTCCCATTCAATCTGACTACGATGCTTCAAAAATCTGCCAGGCGTGGTTAGACCTCAGCGTCAGTAGATGTAAACCCGCCTTGACCGAGTGCGGGCCTCAGAGGTTGACGGCGAACAGCCTCCGTTCTAGTCGTAAAGAACAAAGTTGGGGTCACAGCAATCCACAAAAGATAGAATTTGTAAACTCCGAATCTAAAATTTATTGATGTGATTTTACATTTATTTACTTTTCGATCTTTTCTTACTATAGCTTTTTCAATGGTTAGCTATGAATGGGTCATGATGGGGATATCATGGTCATATCTTACATTGATATAACTATTGGGAAACCACAGAGGTAGGAACGTCAAATCTTGAATGGGTGCTGCTATACATTTGAACGGGGGTAACTACACTTGTAAATGCTTTACGACGGACCAAGATACAAATGGGGGGTAAGTATACTGCTGAAACATATTCTAAGTGGGGGTTTACTAGACTTCTAAATGTGTTGAGTGTTGCCTTCAATTGGCTGAATCATGAAGATTCACCAAGCCAAAACAAGATCGATTTGGATGATTTCCCAGTGATAGTGATGGCGATGCTGTGTGGTGAGCTTCTTGTAATTCAAGCTTCTTATGTAGTTGCATACCGACTTCTATGCAATAAGATACATACATCCATATATTATACACCCGTACATACGTGAATACATGCATACATGAATACATGAATACAATTGAATACATACATCCATACATAGATGCATACATACCTACATACCTACATACTGACATACCTAGATTGATCCATACATCCATACAAACATATCATGGGGTTCACCTGCTGTAGGCTTCCAAGCACCGACACCCATCCACCATACATCAGTTATATCATCATATAGCAGGAAAATAAACATACACATACCTATCAACACCCATCATATGTAGAGATATGTAGAGTACATATCATACAATACCATACTTATACGTATAAATATCACATCCAGATATGTATATATTTGCATACACAGAATGACATATTACATATATACACATATCTATCTATCATATTACATATATATATATATATCATACATATATCATATATATATATATATACACATCATATATATATATATATCATACTATCAACTGCAGGTGGGTTGCACACGAAGTCAGCACCTGGTAGAACTTCTCTGTTTTCTCTCCATCCACAGCGGTCGCACCGCCACGTCGCCTCGCGGTGACTCAAGGGCCCTAGAAATGGGCATTGAGCCCAAAGGGATGGGCGATCGGCCAGCCTCAAGATCATGCGTGTTGCATGCTCACTCATGTGTCGTGAGACTTACATTGACACAGGGGAAAAAGGGCTTTGTAAAGTGGCCAGATCGCACAAAACCTAAAAATCAGTTGGCTCGCCTTTCTTCGATGGCTTGCTCAACTGTTCGAGCTGTACGGAGCTGGGCTCTCAGGGCTCTTGCTTCCACGCGAAGCTCGTCGTCCATTTCTTCAGGGTGTAGCGCAAGGAGTAAACTGTCCTCCAGCGCTTGAACTCGTAGGGCTCGCTCTTCAGGACCAACTCCATCCCAATCGCTCGCATCGATCGGCAGTCGGAATGATCCCCGGTAGGTGCCCTCCGCAATCTCGTGCATAACCTCTGCTGTGAGCACCTCATTGATGCTGGGAGGCATCTCTGCTTGTAGTGCAGCTCGTCGTTGGTTCACTTCTCTGTCAGATAGCACCACTCGACCTTCTCCTTGAAGATAGGCCACTTGGCCCGGGGTCAGCCAGCTCACCGTCTCGCCATTGGTGGCGAACACTCGGGTTCCATCGCCCAGCCTGGGTGTTAGGACTGGAGTCACAATGTCCCCCTCGTAGGTCACTGGTCTGGCTAGACCATCGTCGCTACCGAAGTCTTGTTCCAGCAGCTCAGATTCTTCCTCTTCCTCGTCTTGTTGATGCCGTCCTTCTCCACCATCTCGAATCGCATCCATCATCTCATCGCTACTTGTGTCACTCATCTCGAACTCCGGGTCGAACTCCATTTGAGCTCCATCACCATGGACTAGAAGTGGTTCTTGTAGTCCTTGGGGACCGGGATGATGCCGAAGTGCTCGTCTCCTCTCATAGTTGATGCCCGCCAGAAACACCGCGATGACCACCAAGACAAACCCGATCACGATGACAATCACCTGGATGTAGGGGACCACGATGCCCTTCACAGTGAATTGCACGGCTTCAGCTCCTGGGATGCCCGTTGCTGAAAGCAGCATCCAAGAAGCGTAGGCCATCTCGGTCTTCTTGGGCTTTGAGCTCTTGTGTTGCGCAGCATGGAAGTGGCGTTTGGTACAGTACCTCTTGCCATTCTCAGTGGGTAGGCCACAACCATCCAAAAGACAGATTCCAGTCTCTTCCTTGTCTTCCGTGTCCATGTGCTCGGTCTTGAAGATCGTCTCTTGGATCTTGTGTCTCTTGTAGATCTCCTTGGCCGCGTTGTCCAGCACCTCCTGCTCTTTGTCCTTGTCCTCCTGCTTGACCTTCTTCGACGCCACATACTCAGGGTCATAGCGTAGGCAATGAACTCCTCGACGTAGTTCCATGGCCAGTTTTGCCCTTGCCGCTGCTTTCGTGACCCCGTCGGCCAGCTGCTGGTGCGAGTTGCACCATCTCATCACTCCACACGCAGCTTGCATCCTCTCGGCTGTGATCTTGATCTCGATGGCTGTACGCTTTTCTGCCAGCTTCATGCCGGGAGTTGCGATGTGCTCGCATCGAAGAGGGCTCGAGCATCTGTGATACATGGCGAAAATCCAAGCCATTTCATCACATGCTCACTGTCGGCTCCTTCTGAAGGCCACAGCATCAGGCCAAACATTGTCTTGGCCCATTCCAGATTGTCCACGGCTGTCGTCATGATCTGGGCCTCAGCGCTCAGTGACGAGCGGCAAACTCTGGGCAACTTGCGGCTGACCCAATCCACCACAGTCAGTGGGAAAGGTTTGTCTCCACCGATCTCCTTCTCAGAGGAGATGAAAAGAAGCCATCCCCCTTGCGAGGATCCATCCGGTCTGGTACTCCATGAGGCATCAGAGTAGAACCCAAACCTCAGTTGGCTGAGGGATCCATGAGCTCGCAAGGTCAATGGGATATCAGCCGTTTCCTTGGCGTACCTGAGGATCTTGTTGGCCTCGTTCAAGTCGGCGACCCGTGCTCCAGACACCGTTGCTTGTGCCAGGCTGATGGAGGCACAAAGGTGTGGCTGAGTCTGCGTTGCAGGCCACGCCATAGCTCCCAGAAGTCCACGAAGCTGGCTGACCTCTCGGTCTGTTGCCTTCTCCTCAGGGTTGGCCTTTCTGTTCTTCTCCACGGTCAGGGGCTTGACCTGGCGCAGGTACTTCTCCAGGCTGAAGGTGACCTCAGAAAAATCCAGGCTCTGGGTCAGGTTTGCGCCACAGAAAGTTTGCTTGCTGTCGTAGTTGATGGAACCGAACTTGAAGCGGTTCATGAGGACGTACATGCGCTCGGCAAAATTCTGGGGCTCGCCGTTCGGCTCGATCACGTCCTCGGGCTTGCAGACATACTCACCCGCAGCGATGATGTCATCCACATGGAGACCCAAGATGCCGTCCACCACGGAGTCGGTGCCGTTCATGTTGAAGACACGAAAAGGGTCATCATCCTGGATGGCCGCTCGG